GCTCCGACGCTGCTGAGAACCTGCCGCCCTACAGGGCAGAGGGCCCTCCGGCAGCCTCTCTGGAAAGAGAGGAGGCCCGTTTGGAGTCGCTAACCCCAAAATTAACCCGCAGTTTCCAGGGCCTTTGGGCCCCCCAGAACCTCACCGCTCGAGCAGCAAAGCCGCAGCTCTCTGCATCTGCCCCGCTGAACTCCTCCTGCGGAATCCGCAGCCCCTTATCGGGGCCTGCGCCGAAATGCCCCCGGCGGTTTCGTTTTCGGGCCAGAGCGAAGGGAGCGTGCCGCGCCTCCGCCGCGGAATACCGCGGGGCTGCAGCGCAGTCCGTTTGGGGCCGGGCGGGCGGCGGACGCACCTCCCCGCAGAGACACTCACCATGGCCTGCTCGATCTTGTTGTCGATGGCGACCACGCTGGCTCCGGACGCGCTAAAAGAAACAAGAGAAGAGCGTCGCCGTGAGCATCCGAGAGAGGCGGCCCTACCCGGCTAAGCCCCCTCCGCAGCCTGGCGGCCTCTCTACCTGTTGTCCAGCTTGACCGAGACCACATCTCCCCCCAGCAGGGAGGAGAAGAAGGAGATGGAAAAGTTGTGCAGCTGGTAGACAGCCACCTCCATCGGGAGCGGGAACACACCGGTACTCATGGCTGGGGGCAGAGTGCGCAGATAGCCCAGGAAGAAATTCGTCGGCGCAGGAAGGACGGCCAGACAAAACTGCGTCTATTTCGGCGCTCGCCCGCCTTATAATAGGGAGGCTCTCGAGACGTCACATGGGCTCAGCGTGGTATGCAAATAAGGCCCCGCCCGCCCCCGCCGGACCGCGCGCAGCTGCTCTCGCGCTTGCCGCTGCACCCGGCGGGTTCCGGGCAATCAAGCCGGTCGAGCCGCGCCCCGGAATCGCGAGTCCCCGTCCAGACGCGCAGCTCGTTCCAGCCGCGGCGGCAAGGGGGTTGCCCTCCCGGGACCGAAGGCGCAGTGGGGGTGACTGCGAACTGTGAAAGTAGTGGCCAAAGCGTCCGAAGGGCGCCGGGTTGAAGGCGGCTGCCGGCACCGGAGGGCCCACGACGTTAGCGGAAGCAGCGCTTCACTTTTTCCTCTTCTGCGGCTCCAGATCTGGACCCGCTCGTCGTTTGTCCGCGACGCGGGACGTGAACGCGGGCAGCCTCCTTCGGAGGGCGGGGGCGCGGGACAGCTCCACCCCCCATCCGATCCCCCTTCCCGCTGGGGACTCGGAAGCAAGTTCCGGGGCTGCAGGAGACAGGCGGGACCAAGCCGCTTCCATTCTCTCCTGCAAAGCGGAGACCCGCTTACCCGCAGGGAAAGTTGCCGCCTCCTCTCCCTCCCCCGGATTCACACGTTCAGTCCCTGCAAGAGTTTGGCAACCACCGCCACCCTTTGTTTTCCAGGCGTTGCAAAACGGAGGCCAAGTCAGAAATGTCAAGCATCGCCCAAGCGCGGAACTAGGTCGAGGTTGGCGGTTACGTAAGAAGCTACCCAAACATGTTGTTGTTGCGACTTCGCGAAGCCCGAAGGCGAGCCAAGCGGCGCTCTCGGGCCGGGCGAGGGGGACCCCTGGCGGCCGCTCC